ATGGGGATTTGGATGAGATCTACCTCTATAGCAAAAAGTGGGTGAGGTCTGCCTCTACAGAAAGAAAAAGATCATCAGGTTGGTAACAATAGCCACTTCTGACCTTCTGGATGGAAAGCAGGTATTTCTTCCTCTGATGAAACACCCCAGAGTAATTAATATTTCTGGTTTCCCTAGTGATCTGTGGGGACAAGAACCTTTGTGTCCCAACAAGGGAGAAGGAAAAAAAGAAAACATAACAAATTTAAATTGCCTTAGGATTAAGAGAACACTAAAATCTTTCTTCAAACTTTTCCTATGTTCCTTTATCTCTGACAAAATTGAAGTGCGTTTATTTGTTAAAGTATATATTTCATCTGTCGACCTCTCTCTGTCTCGCCCCCATCCTGTTTGTGTGTGTGCATGTGCCACTGCCTGCCATTAAAGAGGACAACTTGGTGGAGTTGGTTCTCTCTCTCCACTTTTATGTGGAATCTGAGGATTGAACAATGTTTGCCAGGTATGGGCAGCCAGTTTCTCTATCCCCTGAGCATCTAGCTAGCCCTCAAAGAATTGTTTCTCTTCCTTTGCATATGCTTAGATAAAAAGCTATTCAAACATATTTTCTATTCCTTATAAGAATGAAGTATAGCTTTATATCTAAGAAAAATTAAGTGAAACTACCAACTACTTATTTAAACATTAATATTTACACAATCCTCTTTCTTTCTGTGGCCAATTATGTTTCTATACCAAGAATTCTAGACTATTCTGTCCATTATTACATGAAGAATATACTTAGTAAGGAAATACTAATTATTCTCAGTGGTTAGGTTATAACACAAAAACGATGCGTTTTGAAAACTAAACCTGAAAACCTGTGGTAAATTGCTCTGTCACTTTTTAAACTTGTTAGGTTAAGCTGTATGATGAACGGGATTTGCCACTAATCAGAGAGGTGAGCAGGCAGAAAGTGCAGATGAAAGCACACAGTAGAATGCTGAGTTGCTAGATCTGCCTGGTGTGCCAATGAGTGCCCATGGTTCTCTTATTTTATTTTCTCCATGCTTGAAATTTTCTATAACAAATTTTCAGACTTCAAAATACACACTGGAAAGACAGCTCTGTGGCTCTAGGCACCCACACTGGACAGCTCACAAGCACGTGTAACTGACTTCTGACTCTGTGGGTCCCTGTACAAGCATAACATACATATCCAGGCACACACATACACCCATAAACAAAAACTTCAATAGCCAGTGGACACCCAAAGAATCAGCTACAACATGGTCCAAATAGAATGCAAACAAACCATTTTCTCTAAAACAAATATCCAACTGGTCTACACAGGATTATTTTTGCTAGTTCATTTGCAGTAAGGTGAGAAATCAATTCACCAATCTATAGCCACTTAAAAGCTATATGATTTGCTATTTTCCATGCTTTACAACACAGTTTTTAGATTATTTTTATCTAAAGAGTTTTTGAACTTTGGGAGGCTATATTCCAAATCACCCCTACCCCCTTATGAATCAGTTTAATTGATTGCTGTTAATGACTAATAAATTCTGTGTTTTTGAACAGCAACAAAAGCTATGTAAAAGGCTATTGTCGCCACCTACTGGACACTGACTTTGACTGCGTGATATGAAAATTTAGTGTCTAGTTTTGTAAGTTATGAAATGTCTCTCTTTTGTGTTACATCAGTATGCTAATTAATGTCACATTACATCACCTGCACTACAGCCTCTTGCTGAGAGGTATACTGGAAGAGGCTGCGATCATCTTGTCCTGTTCTTGTTTGTCTTAGGACAACTTGCTTGTCCACAGAGTTAGCACAAGATTTCAATTATTTACAGACAGGGATACCAGAAAGTTAGAAATCTGTCCCAGCTCTAGGTCCAGGCAATGGAAGAGGTTTTTGTAATCTAAATCTTTAAGAATCTTGGAGGTGGATTAAGAGTACCTGGTGTTCTTGCAGATGACCCAGGTTCAATTCCCAGCACTCACCTGATGGCTCATAACCGTTTCTAACTCCAGTTCCAGGGCCTTCAACACCCTCTTCTGGCAGGCCCATACATGGTATGCAAACAAAATACCCATGCACAGAAAATAAAATAAAGATAATTGAATTTTTTTAAATATTTAAAATCAACTTATACTACAAATTTTGCCATCTTTTCTAAATTGGCTAGTGAAATCCAACAGTGACTTTCAATCTGTTACTGTTAATGAACAGTGACTGTTCAATCTTTAGTTAGGAATACCTGTGACATTTTAGGATAAACTGTTGTTGGTATGAAAACCAGAATTTTTCATTACAATCAGGGTTGACAGCAGTGGTATCCACTTGAGTCCCACTACCTGATGAGGAACACAAACGTCCAAGAAAAACCTTTACTACCAGGTGAAGATCAACTATTTTCTCTATGCAATCCTTCTAAGTAATTCCTATGTAAACCAAAGTTTGAGATTCATCAGTATTTACTATAAAACTTTTAAAACCTCATTTTTTAAAAAACCAGTGGAGGGATCTTGGAACCATTTAAATGTAATTGAGGAAATGTTGCAATAAAGTAAAGAAATGTTACTAATTTTCCATGAGATGTGAATAAAAGAAAGGATTACCTTCAAACAGCATATATGCGAGGCTAGAGAGATGGCTCAGCAGTTAAAAGCACTTGTGAAAGACCTGGGCTCAGTTCCATAACCATCTGTAACTCCAGTTATAGGAAATCAGATGCTCACCTCTGACCTCTGAGGTACATGGTGTGCTTACATACATGTAGGCCAGATACTCATACATAAAAACTAAGTACATCTAAAGACAAAATCCACCAGCATGTGTGCTGTGTGCTCCTTTTATTTTCCCCGTCTCTTTCCACTGAAAATGTCAGAGGAATGTCAACTGAACAATTAATTTCTTCTGGTTATCTCTGAGTAGCAGGATTGTGGGTGATTTCTTTTCAGATTACCAGTGTTCTAAATATTCCCACACTAAGATAAACTCTTACTCCATTAATCAGGAGAAAACTCACAAATAAAAAGCAGCAGCTCTGAACCTAGCATGTACCTGTATAGGCCCTGCATCCAATCCCAATGTGATCAATGTTTGCAAGTGGACCGGGAGTTGCTCAGTTGGTAAAGTGCCTGTAACACAAGCATGAGCAGAGGTTTAATCCCAGCAGCTGCAGGGAACATAGAGGCAGAAGGGGCCCTGGCTTGTTGCCAGCCAGTCTGATGAGTCCATGAACTCCAGGGTGAGACCGTGTCTCATAAAATAAGGTAGAGAGCAACTGAGGAAGATATCTGGTGTTGACCTCTGCCCCAAACCCAAACAGAGACACATGATTAAAAATATACAAATCAAAACAAAACAAAACCCCAAGTCCTGTCTTCTTTGTAAACTGTGACTTCAAATAATGAATCTTTGGGATTCAGAATCTGGCAACTGTGGGAAATGGCTTCTCTATCATGCACTGTTTTTTATAACCCATTCTTCATCTTTCTTTTAGTTTTTACATCAGCAGTGCCTAAGCATCAAGAAGCTTAAGTACTTTAATTCAATACTTTAAAAATGTGAAACCACTGTCTATTCTATTTTCCCCTTCTGAGTGAGATTCAAACATCCTCCCCTGGGCCCTCCTTGTTACTTAGCTTCTTTGGTGGTGGTACATAGTGTGTTGGGGTTGGGGGGCATGAAGAGATTGAAGCACCAAACAAGGACTCAATCTAGGCCCCCTACACAGATGTACCCAATGGGCAGCTTGGTCTTCACGTGGGTTGCCTCATAAGGGGAACAGGGAGTGTCTCTGACATGGACTCTGTTGCCTGCTTTTGATCATACCCCCCTGGCAGGTCTGGCAGTGACAGGTCACTGAAGAAGATGATGATGTGCTCAGTCCTGATGTGACTTGATGTGCTGGGGAGGCCTGGGGTGGTTCCCCTTTTCTGAGGGGTAGCAGAAGAGGAATAGGGAGAAGAGGGAAGAAGGACAGGGGCTATGATTAGGATGTAAAGTGAATAAATTATTTTTGTTTCTTTTTTTTTAAGATTTATTTATTTATTATATATCCAATGTTCTGGATGCATGCATACCAGAAGAGGACACCAGATCTCATTATAGATGGTTGTGAGCCACCATGTGGTTGCCGGGAATTGAACTCAGGACTTCTGGAAGAGCAGCCAGTGCTCTTAACCTCTGAGCCATCTCTCCAATAAATTATTTTTGAAAAGTTGTCCTATGACTTCCACATATGCATATGGCACATGTGCTCCCAATAAATAAATGAATGTCAAAAAGAAACTGAAACCTACTCTACATGGTAAGTTTAATCTATCTTAGAACACATGAAACTGAGCATCCTATTTCCCTGCTGACTGGCTACAAGGGTAAAATGGGAGATATAACATAGTCAATAAAGATAATCACCATTACTGTCTTGCCTGCGACCACTGTATCTCATAAACAGTGCCTAAACTAAATTTTCCAATGGGGGAAAAAGCTTTGTGAGGTGCAGAAGTGGCTCCTGGTTATTTGAGCTTCCCAGGCCACTAAAATACCAGGGACTTAGAAGTTGGGGACAGATGGGTTTCTGGAGCTCACTGGCCACCCAGTCTAGCCAAACTCGAAAGGGCCACATTTTATGTCCAAAAGTCAAAGTGGACAGCATCTGAGGAAGACACCCAACTTTCCACATGCCCCCCCCCCCCCATCATGCACACAAAAATACACAGCCTGCTGGTGATGCACCCGGGTAGGAATGAGGACATCCGCCTGCCTCGCCCACCACGCACACAGAAGTAAACAGCCTGATGGTGACGCAGGCAGGGGGCAATGAGGATACTGTTGTTACTTCACATGGCCTGTCTCCCAAAGGAATGTTGTAAAACTAGAAACTGCTTCTAGACCTGGATTCTGCCAACACAGAACACTGATGCTAAAGGTACAAATGCGATAGGTTCCAAGATCCAAAAAATAGGAACAGCAGCAAAAAATTAAAACAGGAAATGTGACAGGATTTTTAGAAGCCGAAATTTCATTTTTTCCCTTATTTTTGAAACAGTAAAAAAGGGAAGGGGATTAAAATTTACTTCTAAAAGTACTGACTGAGAAGCCAAACTAGAAATTATACAGTTTTACAGATTTCTCTGCTTCTTCTTGAGCTCACAAAACAATTTCACAATACAACACTTCTAGGCATCTTCTTTGGTTTTATCGTTTTGGGGCAACAATGCGTCAGTCTTCAGTAGCAAACCTTCACTGGTTGAACTACGAAGGAAGGCACGCACCACAAATGGACCTAGAACAAAGATCAGAGAGCCAATGGTGACTTTCTCACTCCATCCCTATGGTCAGATACACACAGGCTTAGAGTTTGCGGGACTCAGTTCCCCTGCAGAGCGCCATGCTGCTATCCTGGAGAATTCGCTGCACAAGAGTGATTCTGGAAACACGCTCACTAGTAATTCTCTCCTCCCCTCCAAAGATGAACACCTAGAACTTATGTACTACAAAGCTGATGGTGAAGGGAATGAGTGCTAACCTTTACTTTGGAAAAATACTCTAAATAAAAGCAGTCACCACAGACGGTAACTGAGTTACCAAACAATTGAAGAATCTTCCTAACAACAGTTAAGGTGCTTCACCCAAAATGGCATAATTTTTAGAGAATTTATTGTCCATTATTCTTCTTGAGCTATATGGAATAAAAGAATCCATATACATGCAATGTCTGTGGCCATATTTTGTATGAAAGACTTAACAAATGGGCTGCTCAATCACAATCACCAATGTTCTTAATTCTCAAGGATTGTAAAAGTAGCTCAAATCTGTGTTTTAATTAACTTGATTATTACACTAAATCCCGCAAAGTCCAAGCAGGGTAACTGCATGGGGCAATCGGTGGAGCCTAACAAGACCGTCATGAGCATGCACACGTGTGGTCTGTGTGAGGAACACAGGCCATGCTAAAGGCAGGGAAGTAGCCTGGGCTCTAGCTACTACAGCACCCAAGTGATTCCCTCCATGGCCAAAGAGCCACCACATTTACAAGAGGTAACTCTCCTCCCTTGGCAAAAGTGCCCCCTTTCTTTTATAAAATAAATATTAAAAAGGCCAATCAGCTTCAAACTACCATTTCATAAATGCTTTCTCTCCTATTTAACACCATTGTAATTTTACAGCAATTAGTTTTCTTTTAAACCTTAATACATTTAACAATAGAAAGAATATGCAAATGTACAGAAAACTGGGGGTCTATTCTTTGTTACTGATAAAGAAGTCCTTCTCTAAAACCTTATGATTCATGAACGAGGTAATTAAGAATCCTCTGAGGAAAATTCTTTTTACTTATTTAATTCCTGGAAATACTGCAGCTATAGTACTTGTACGTTAACTCTTTGTCTTAATAGTTCATATTTGTGAAGTGTTACTGGGGTTTAAGGAAGTCTTCCCTCACCAAACTACTCACCCAGATGCAGTGGTCTCTGCCTACAGACCTCATTTATAATTGCTTGAAGATTGGCAGCTATCTGGTCACTTGGCATATCCAACTGAAAGAAATGAATACATACATATTGTAAGTTGGTAATGGCATCAGTATGTTTTCTAGATGGAATGTTTTATGTATTTACCTAATGCAATGACCTTTCAAGAAACTCTACTATAAAAGCCAATAACAAAAACTTTATAATTCTTTTAGAAAAATTTACACACTAGGTATGGTGATGCACACCTGTAATTCTAGCACTCTGGGAAGCAGAGCCAGGCAGATCTCTGTGAGTTCAAGGCCAGCAGGATCTACAAAGTAAGTCCAGAACAGCCAATGCTACACAGAGAAGCCCTGTCATAAAAACAAAAAATTAATTTACACATTATTATATATTTATGTCAATAGTTACTTTTTAGAATATACCATAGTGGGCTGTTTATAAGTTTTCCTATTTGAGGAGCTACAATTTCCAAGTAATTTTCACCAAAGCACAACACAAACACGCATGCCCAAAATAGGGACATTTTCTTTTACGTGTGTGCTGGGGCCGGGGGTGGTGCATCTGTATACATATGTGGGTAGAAGCCAGAGGTCAGTGTTGGATGTTTTCCTCTGTGCTCCACCTTATTTTTTGAGACACGGCCTCTTGATGAATATGAAACTTACCAGTTTGGGTAGGATGGGCCACCAACAAGCTCCAAGGGCCCTCCTGTCTCTGTCTTCCCAGTGCCAGAGTTATAGACATGTGGCACCATGTGTGAGGAGTGCATCAACAAAGTATAGTAGGAACGTGTCTTAAACTTTTTGGTTCATGAAAATTTGCTCAAGAAAAATGCCTACCAGCACATGAAAAAACCAAAACCTCTGCTCTTAGGGTCTTCAGGGATTTAAGAAGAAAGGTGAAAAAGGAAAGACTCCCAAAGAAACAGGATCCCTGTGCTGATGTGAGATTCACTTGTACTAAGTTTGTCTGAATTTGTAGGAGTATGGATTATAGTGGCAACAATTATTTCTACCTTTTGTAGGGAATTAAAATTGAAAAAACAAAACCCATACAAATGAACTTTAAATAACGCATATTCCCAAGGCAGGCAGTTTTTGTATTCTAAGTGTGACATGAGCAAACTAAAGACAGATGTTTGTTCAGAGGTATGACATTTACACTGCTGTACAGGAGTCACTCTCAGAGAGGGATTATCTATTTCTAGTTTTTGAGGTGAGTCACTAGAAAATAGAAACTCTTGACTCCCCATTTTCCTGGTTCAGTTTTCAGTCTTTTAAAATTTGGGTATATAATGCAAAGTCCCAGGGCTAAATATTATCACAGACAAAAGAACTTAATGTTTCATGGTCACAAGACATGCAATGTAAATAACCAGTATGTAACTTTATAAGAACAAAATTCGTAAGTAATTTTCCAGATTGGCAGTTCTTACAAAATACTTTTAAGTCAATAGACAGTGTACAATATCATATGTGATTAAATGATCTATGTGTATCATTAAGTCTAAAGCAGTTTTATCTCTATGAAACCCTTCAGAGGTCAACTGATTAAATATTGAATGAGTAGCTATAGTATAAAAGTTTTAGGTACCCTAAATCCTGCAAAGACGGAAATGTTAGCATGTCAATCTGAAAGCTCCCTAATGTATTCAGATGCCTTTCAGATGAACGGATATTGAGTAACATTTTTGCAATATTATCTGGAGTTATCATTTCATGATATAACCATTATAGTGAGGTATATGAAAATTCTACATTCTATAGGAAAAGTTAAGATGACATAATTTTTAAACGAGTTAATATCACATTTGAAAGTATTATAACCAGTGGTTTATTGCCTGATTATTTCATAGTATGTTATATCCATGTAGTTTTCCCTCCCCTTTTCACTCTTCATGCATACTATAAATCTGGGTCAGTGGGACGGCTCAGCAGGTAGACACTTAAATCCCAAATCTGATGGCCTGAGTCAGTCCTCAGGACACATATGGTAGTAGAAGAGAATTGACTCCCACAGACTGTTCTATGAGCTCCACAAGTGTGCTGTGGCATGTTTGTGTATGTGCACATACACATAATACATAAATATGTGAAATAAAATTTAAAGATTTTTTAACACACCTTAAACAAAAGGAAATGTTAAGTTTGATTGCATTTCAACTTAAGAATAGCTCAGCAGTTAAAGCACCAGCCACTCTTCTAGAGGACCCAGCTTCAATTCTCAGCACCCACACAATGGCTTACATCCAACTGTAACTCCAGTTCCAGGGGATCTGATGCCCTTCTGGCCTCCATGAGCACTGCATGCATGTTATGCAAAGACGTACATGCAGGCAAAACAAAAACCCACCCACATATACAGCAGAAATAAAGATTTTGAGAGTGGCCAGCTTCTATGACTATAATGTTCTGATACAGTTCTGATAACATTCTATAATCTTCAGATGACTGATCACCTGTAACTGGGAACTGCAGGGGACTGATGGCTTGGATAAGCACTTTTTAACCATCTGACCTCCAAAACCCTCTCCAAATGCAGTATTCTAAAATTAAGTGTGGCTTAACAGAGAGCTTTCACTTCCCATGACCCATAACAGGGTAAACTGAGGAAAGGAAGGTTAACTGCATGTCTCTACAGAGCATTAAGCAAAGGTATAAGAATAATTATATAACTCCACCTTACGTAATCTTACTTTGAGTAAGCTCTTTAGCAGCTACACCTACAGGCTCATTTCTTCTAATAACTCTATGAAGCAGATATTATTATTATCCCTGATTTACAATTAAAAATTGAGACCCAGAAAACAAATAACTTTATCCAGGAGTATGTGCAAGTCAGGACTGAAGGCACATTACACAGCCCCAGCCTTGGGGAGGGTGAGGCAACAGGATCATTCATTTGAGGCCCATCTGTTCTCACAGTGAATTCTAGGCCATTTTATGCTACATAGAGGAGCCCTGTTTCAAAAACAAAGTAAAACCAAACATCAAAAGCACATACATGTAAGAAGTGGCCCCAAAGTCTACGCCTATTTAATAGGTGAGTATTGAGGAAAAATCTTCCACCCCATCAGTTATTTGGCTTATGACCCCGACACAGTTATAATGTGCTAGTGGTTTACAGATGAACAGGGAACAATGTGAAGCATTCAAAGGAAGAGAACATGCATTTAAGAGGAAAATTAATATTTCTGTATCATCAATCCTTCACTGTCTTCCAATTGTTCAGATGTTATCACAATTGAGAAAATCTACATAGCCTCCACTCTTTGTCAAGCAACATGCTGGGAAGTGAGTACAGGAAGATGATGAGTATACATGTTGTACCACAAGAGCAGAGAGGAAGATGCAGGGCAAAAGGGATGCCTCTAGGCAGAAGAACTGACAGGAGGTGGATCAGGTGACAAGATCTAGAGACCAACATGACTGAAGACAAATGGGTTTCAGTGCTGATGTTCATGCCACTTGGATGCACGTTTTACAGAAGTGGAGGACTGTCACGCTGAGCACAAGGATTGTAGGACTAGTGCCATTCCAAATCCTCAACTTTCATGTGCTAGATAAGTTTCTAGCTTTAAAATGTTAATTTCTGTAAAACCAAACCTCTATCTGGGCTCAACAAAGTAAATCCAGGTCTTCAGGTTATACCATAGAAGGGTTAGGAAATGGAGAATTGGATATGATGGTTTAAGATTGGCTGCAAAGAGAGCTAAAATCAAAGACTTCAGGATTTATCTTACCAACACTAAGAGGTTGCTAAGCAGATGAACCACATATTTGCTTTAGAAAGAATTCTGGAGGAAGTATATAAAAAACAGGACTTGTCACACTTTCTTTGTAAATATGTATGGTTTTGTAAGCCACGGGGTCTGTTACAACTGCTCAAGACTGCTGCTGGGGCAAAACAGAAGTTAAAGCAATACATAAATGAGTGCAGCTGTGTTCCAACAAAACTTTCTTTACAGTAACAAGTGGAGAGCTGGGTTTTGCCCAGAATCAAGTTGCTGGTCTATGACACTAAAAGCAGAACTGAGATACATTTAAGAAGTGAGTGAGGAAAAGCAACCATTACTTTCTTCTGGAACAAGAAAGAGTTTTGTTTGTGCTGCTTTACTTAGAGCACTAGATTATTTTTTTATTTACATTTTTTTTTTTAGACCTCTAGGCTTCTTATCCAATAGACTGTTAGTTTATTATTATGTGTCTACTTTACAGATAAGGTAAAATATGTTTTGTTTCACTAAGAATTGCACTGCAATTTAAAAATGATAGTAGGAAAAATTCCTACCAACAGTTCCAACAGCTGTTGTAAATTTTATGCATACATTTAAAACAAGTTCTTTAGGAGCTGATGACAGGTTCCAAACTGGAAAAAATAGAAAATGTAGTGTTGTATATCCTACATATAAGAAAGATACCAATAGTTAAGGCCACCTACTGTCTTCTCTATCAATTCCTGGTAGACTCAGAAGCCAGAGAAGATGGCGATGGCCCCAGACACCTTATTTGTAGATATGGAGGGCCCTGAAAGAAGGGGAGGTTGCTGGTTGTACATGACATGTGGAGTTCAAACCATTAAGAGATGGCCAGAAAACACCAACAATCCAAACAGTGAACACTGCCAGGTAAGCAGAAACCGCCAGCCTTCCCCTTCACACATTCTGCCAGGCCTCTGTATATCCAGAGCCCATAGTAATGAGGCCTGAAAGAGGCGCTGCAGGCCATGGTGGCTTAGGTCCATGCACTCCAAGGTCTAGAGCAAGAGAAGGCAGGGAATCTAGCCACCCTCTCTATTTTGGGTCAGTAGCATCATGAAAGCCCGCCTCTAAGTCAGTCTCTGCCTATGAGACTGGTATTAGAAACCAGACTAACTGCTCGTTCAATCACCAACACCATTAGAGCCATGACATCTGCCTAACACGCTTATGCCTGACAGAGAGGAAGTTGTACCGAGCACAGCTGGAAACAGTGAATGGAAAAATATTTCATGTTTTAATTTCAATAAATGCAGACTTTTCAATAAACTACTCATTTACAAACACAGAATATATTCTGTGT